CTAGTAAATCCCTATTTAATTACCAGGTCACCTTGTTGGTCTGTTTCTCTCGCACTCATGTTAAGCCATTGACATTTGAAATTTTCTTATTCCAAGTATAGAAACACCCGCAATCGTAGGTTTAGTTTGCTTTCCAACTTAGAGATGAAATTCTAGCAGGGGATTTTTTTTAATTATTTTATTTTTCTAATTAACGTACAATAAAGATCCTTTATGTTATATATTGTGGCTTTAGGAGGGAGGGAACATATCATAAATGTTTTCTTTTCTTTTTGTTGAACAAGAAATGCTTCCTATCCACACGGCCCCATAAGAGCAACCCCATGTTTCCTATCCACACGGCCCCATAATAGCTTTGGAATCAATTAGTCGCATATCAATAATCTGAGGGATATGAAAAACTATATTAACATGTCGTCATGTTCAAATTGACTTACTTGCAATTCAAGCTTTTCGCCGCTTTGGGTTTTGACACTTAGCGGATAAAGATGAAGTTCACCTGCAAATCGATTGGTGGGGCAAAAAAATAACGAGAACCAACATCAAAGTAAGTGATCATGTTCAATATTGCATTCAAATTTGAAAGGACATCCTCACTTCATAAAGTACTATGGTTGAGTCAAATATGAGTGTACAAATACCATATTACCAAACACATGAACTGATGACCAAAAGCTTAACCCTTGAGGACGTATGATAAAAAAAAATATTGAGAAGAAATATAACTTTTCCCGGACTCATTGTTATTTTGTGCTTACGAACTATAGTTTGAAAACCAGACACTGAAAGATATTTTCCCCACGATGCTGAAATCCAAAATAACCACATTAAGTAGATTAGGACCTCGGGGCGGAGCAGACTTTGTTATCTTCCTTGTTCTATGACTGAAAAGACCTCTTAGTTAAATCAAGCTACAATTTTTTTATAAAAACAAAAAAAGAGCTTCAAATATGCGAAATTCCATATGTTTAAAAACATCTATATCACAGTGAAAAGAGATCAACTTCCCAAACATGCTTGGTGCTCCATTTCAAATTATTTACAATCCATATGTTTTAAAAAAAAATATATATATATATATAGAATCGGTCTCAATTGATGTCAAATTCGACGGTCAAGCACCTCAAGGGTTCGCCTTGATATAGGACCAATTGGACTAATAATGAACACACACCTTGCTTTGGTTGACTTTCTGGAGCAGCTGTTTCAGATTCTTTGATGTCTGCCTTAATATCTGACGATTCCTCAACTGATTCAACAGGCTCTGCTTTCGACTCCAAAGCACCATTATTAACATCTTTTGACGCATCAGAAGAAACTACTGCCTCAGAATTATTTGTAGCATGGTGCGCCCCTTTCCTATTCCTCCCTTTACCGGATTTTCCCGCCATTTCTACTTCCTAGCATTCCAGAAATCATAAACATCATAAAAAGTGGAAGAAAATGTGACTGCTTCAAAATAAACAATAGAATTATGGTGCATGTCTTCTCATTCAAAATTTTAATATTTCAATCAGAATCAGAGAATTTATCATTTTATCTCTAGTCTTCAGACAAAAAACACTACCCTATTACAGCCTTCAGTAGAGTATGCTTTTATAAGAAAAAATTAATATCTGTGTGTACGTACCTAGACTATTTTTTCGCTGCTGTTTTTAAAGACACTGTATCAGAAATCCAGTTAACATTTCCTCTCGGAATAGTTACCTTATCATCCATCCGTTCATAACCCTTCCCCCTCCCCTAATAAGGCTTACGACAAATACAAATGCTTGAACTCAATTTTTCTGATAACTTTAACCAACGACTCGGTACATCATATAAGACAACAACCAATTTGGCAGAAACAGAAATGAAACCACATCGCATAAACAAATAACAAACCGCAGATGCAAGCCAATCAAACTACGAAGAAGACGAAAGAAAACAATAAAATAAAGCGTTCTCATTTCAATTCAAAGTAAAGAAATATCTACAAATTTTACCGAGTTTCAGAGGTGTGGTCGGAAGCTGTCAGTTTAGAATCCAAAGAGGACGGTGGCGGAAGAGGAGGAGGAATACAGAGGTTTTGGGAGAGAGTTCGGGTGTGTGAGGTTTAAGAGAGGGGCCGACGAGTGGCTGAGAGAGGCGGCCAAAGTTTCCTCTTTCCCAAACGGAAAATGGAGTTCCCTGATTAACCCAATTTGTTGGCTTTTGGGCCTCTCTAGGTTTGGTGGTTATTGTATTTATACTCTTATTTTTTACACACAGCCTTTTTTTTTTTTTTTAAATCAATTCGGATAAAAATCTCAAAACATTAATATTAATATAGTTATAATAAAATGTATAATTTTATTTTTTTTTAAAAAAATTTGTCTTTTTTTTAGTTCTAATATCACGTTTCATTTTTTCTATATAAATATATAACCAATTAAATTTATATTTATCATAAGAAATTGGTTTTTTTCTTCTTCTTTTTTTTCTCTTTTTTTTTAGCATTATAATAAAAATACAACTGTCAAACTTTTTAAATTACCATAAAGATCACACAGTCTAGCTTTTTTAATTACCATGTAAGGGCAAGAAATTTATTCTCATTTCTTAAACTTTTGTACTGAATTTGGTTTAAATGTCTGGCATTTGTTTTTTTTCACTTTCAAAATACTTATTTATTTTTAACCTAAATTAAAAATAAAATTTATAAACTTTTAACTTTATTTAAATAATATATTAACATTTAAAATTTTTAACAATACTTTGAACTTAAAAAGGTAAAAACAAAAATATATTATTGTCATAAATTTTAAATCGCTAATATTTTATTCCAAAATATTATTGAAAGTAAAATATATATGTGTGTGTTGCGTTAGTGTATATATATTATATTCATCTTCCATTTATTATATTTACTTGGATTCAATATATTATCTTATAAATTTCTAAATTTATTATCGAATATTCTCTTTATTTATTTTTTATTATTTAATTTCTAAAATTATTTTTTCTCATATTTTAAATATAACTTTGCATACAAAAATATCAAAATTTTCAACCCATAATAGCTGTTTTTTTAAAGCTATTATCGGTTTAAAAAATAAATTTGAAAATAACTAGTTTTTTCAAAACATCGTGGCTTTTAACTCTATTTAAAGCTAAGTTAATTTGTATTTAAAATATGTTTTTTTTTATTTTATATTTATATTTTTCTCAACAATAATTATAGCTTAAATTCTAAAAATTCAACATTTTGTATTTTATTTAAAAAATACATAAGCTTGTAAAAAAAAGAAATTAACAATACATTTATTTATATTTACAAATAAATGTATTTGTCATAATCTATACACTTTTAATAAAACTTAAAATTTGTTTTTATAGGTATTTTGAAAAATATTTATTATCAAAATTAAATTTATAGTCTTACCCGTGATCAATCTGTTCCCATATCTAACGGCTTCGTCGGAACTCCCCGGCGGCTCGCTGATGGATTTAGCGCCGCAACTCAATTGGTGCGAAGAAGTGAGTCGGACTCTGAAAGATACCGGCGCGCTACTGGTCGGAGATTCGAGATGCCCTGTCGAGGACAAGGATTAGTTCATTGATATGATGGAAAGGTTTTTTGAGAAGCCGACTGGATATAAGCGTAGTCATGCGAGGCCTAATTTGCATTACCGGGTGAAATTTCATTTTCATTTGCCTTAGAGATGTTGTTTTGTTTGATCGTTCGAAAAATGTTGGTCGATTGGAAGCTAGATTTTGTGTTCTTCTTGGAAAGTATAATTTATTGTTTGAGATCTTAAAAGAGGAGTCGAGTATCAATTAATGAGAGACTGTTTGAGGACTCCATAGGCCTCAAGAGAGTCTCTATAGTATACTTTGTTTGAGGTGAAGATTGTTGATAATTATTGAAAGGAGTCCCACGTTTGTTAATTAAGGGGGAAGATCATGGGTATATAAGTAAGAAATACTGTTTATATGAGGCCTTGTGGAGAAACCAAAAGCAAAACCACGAGAACTTATGCTCAAAGTAGACAGTATCATACTATTGTAGAGATTCGTGATTCTTTACATGGTACCTAAGTAATGTTAGGAAACCAAAGTAATGCCCTTGTCAGTAAGATTCTAAACTCTCGAACTTTCTTTTAGAGCTTAAGAGGAGGAATTGAGCCTCAATTAAGGGGAGACTGGTCGAGGGCTCCAAGTGTCCAAATGCCCTTGTCAATAAGATTCTAAAGTGTATGCCTTTGTCAATAAGATTCTAAAGTGTCGAATTTAGAGCTTAAGAGGAGGAGTCTAGCCTCAATTAAAGGGAGACTGGTCGATTAAATACTCTGCTTTGTTTGAGAGCTCAGTCCCATAAATAGTGTACTTTGTTTGAGAGCTGGTGGCAGGAGTCCCAAATTAACTAATTAAAGGAGAAAATCATGAATTTATAAGTAAGGAATAGTATTTCCATTGGTGTCGAATCTTACCCTTAACTTTAGCCATGTTAATAGAATTCTCTAAAGTGTAGTCAATACTGGCTCAAGTGTCGAACAAAAAGTGTACTTTGTTTGAGAGCTTCAGAGAAGGAGTCGAGCCTCAATTAAGGAGAGAGGGTTGTTCGAGAGTTCCATAAACCTCAAGAAGTTTATATAAATAAGGAATGTTATCTCCATTAGTACAAGGCCTTTTGGAGAAACCAAAAGCAAAGCCACGAAAGCCCATGCACAAAGTGAACAATATCACATCATCGTGAAAATTCGTGTTTCCTAACACACACGGGATGCAAAGATGACCAATATCCTTTCAAAGTTTGTAAGGGTTTAGAGGAGTCACAAGTGATTGATGTCTTGTAACAATTTGAGTGCAGATAAACCACCACTTCTGTATGTTGGCGGATAGAGACAAGTCAACAGTAGAGGGGGAGGCCTAAACTGGCAATGGACACGTGACCGTGGGTTAGGACGGAGGTGCAAAATGGTACGAACCACAAACTCTTATAAATTCAAGCCAAAGTCCATTATTTTTCTTATTACAACCGGAAAATGGGATTTTTAGGCATGAAATGTGTGTCAGTTTGGGTGTTTTTAGTGGTGACAACAAGCTTGAGCGAACAAAGCAAAGGCGAAACATGTAGTTTCACCTTCTTTTCTTCCCTCGTTAGGCTGATTCCGTGCAGGCCATCGGTTGCTCCATTCCGCCCTACTCCGCCGACCGCAGCCTGCTGCAATGCCGTCAGATCTCTCGGCCAGCCTTGCCTGTGCGTGCTTGTTAATGGCCCTCCAGTTGCCGGCGTTGACCGCGACTTGGTCATGCTCTTGCCCGAGAAATGCCCTACCAATTTTGACCCATGTATGTACCTTCTCTTTCGGGTTATAATGATCTACGGAATTAAATAAATTATAAAAATAATAAATAGATGCAAGATATTTATAACTCATTTAGGATCCTATTATTTCTCGGGAGAATTTTGAATCTTTAATCATATTATTGAAATAATTAAAATTTTGTCTATTTTTATATAATTCAATAGTTTAGGCATTTTTTTTACCTAAAACAAAAAATGTCTTATACAATTTCCCTAATTTTTTACATTTTTGCTGTTGTCTTTACAGGTGAAATTATGAAATGAAAGGGAGACGGTTCGAGGTATTCAAATATAAATTTTCAGTTCAATAATGAGGTGTATACGCAAGAAGATCGATTAAGCTTAGATTTAAAATATCCCTTTCTATCAAATAGATTTCAAATATATTTAAACAAAGAAAAAGAACGAGGCATATCGTGGTAATAGAAAGAGAAAAAGATTGTTGACGTCGACCAATTTACTATGATTTTTTCATCAATCATGAATTGACCTAATATTAATTTTACGTATAATTACAATAGCCGAACTGTAACGACTTATTCTAAAATTTAATTTTCAACGTGTATTAAGCTAGTCAAACGTAAACGCTCAAATATAAATAAATAAATAAAAAGTATATGTATTATTTTATATGTACACATAACAACCATGAAAGATTATTATTATTGTTTTATTTTTTTAGTTTTACAATTATTATATAAGATTGATAAAATTTATTATTCTTTAATATATCTCGTGTATTTCACCTTTTATATATAATATTAATTGGAATAGGCTAAGTCAAATTTTACAATTTTATTATGATTATCAATTTGACATTTTTTATATGATAATACATAGAAAATTTACATGTTTGTACTTACTAAGTTAGACCATGACTTCGATTATTTTTACGTTGAATTTATATAATTTATATAGAATATTTTACTTAGTCAACATTTTATAATATAATTTATATTTCCAAAGTATTACGGTACCTACAACTTTCCATTAAAAAATTTAGATCCATCGACTTTTTCTTCAATAAAGTCGCAAGCGTCGATGTGGGTCGTAGTCGTCCCTCTCCAATTTATCAGCCAATAAAATTTTTGAAAATGACCAACCAAATAGCAAAGTAGCAAAATGCAAGCAACTTAAAATTTAATATTTTTAATTGGCCCCGTCAAAATTTAAAGATTTTAAAATATAAATATAATTATTTAACTACAAATTTCTTTAATTTAAATTATTATTTTTAATTTTGTTTACTATCTACTCCATATACATTAAAATAGGTCAAAACAATGGGAAAGATTTTGAAACGTGACGAAAATAATAATAAATAATTAATTAATTAATTAGATTATATATATATATATATATTATAAAAAAACGTCATTGAACATGATAGCGATGAACGTTTTTTTCTACTATAATTATGGAAAATATGACATTTTCTATTTACACGAAAGTTTACATATAAATTTATTAAATGAATTAAATTTTTATTTAGTCTCTAAATTTTAATATTTTATGTTTGAGAAATTAGGAAAATAAATTATAATTTTAAAAATTACACATCATAATTATTTAAAATTAAAATTAACTTATAAAAACAAATTTTAAATATAAATTTAATAAATAAATAAAAATTAAATTCAAACTAATTTTTCCACTATAAATTTGATCCAAATCTGAATTCGATTTCACCAAACACCGAGAAAATGGGTGATTCATCATACTACATTCTCTACGTTACTCTCTTCTTTCTTTCCATCGTTCTCCTCCGGAATCTCCTCCGCCAGCCGTCGAAGTCCGTCGTTCACGGCAGGCCGCCACCGAGTCCGCCGGCGCTGCCGCTCATCGGCCACCTTCACTACTTCTCACCCTACGTTAGCAAATCGTTTCACAATCTTGTCACTAGGTACGGCGATCTTTTGTTCCTCCGGCTCGGCAACATCCGATGCCTCGTCGTCGCATCTGCGACGTACGCGGAGGAGATCTACAAAATTCAAGACGTTACGTTCTCGTCGCGGCCGAAATTCGCGTTCGGAGACGAACTTCCGTACGCCAATGCCGGATTCTTCGGCGCGGAGTACGGCGGTTACTGGAGATTCATGAAGAAATTGACGATGACGGAACTTTTGTCGCAGCGACAAGTTGAGCGATCACGCTGCGTCCGGAGAGATGAGATGGTGAAGTTCTTGGTGAAGTTGGCGGAATGCGGCGAGAGGAACGACGCCGTGGATTTGGGCGCCGAGCTTATTAGACTCGCAAATAATAGTATTTGTAGGTAAGAAATTAATCTTTTAATTAAAAATATAAAATAACGAATATTTTGTATATAAAAAATTTTAATTTATTATTTTCAGAATATTTATTTTAATTATGGAACAATAAATAATAATACTAGATATATATATATATATACACACGCGCAATATATATACACGTATTGATTATAACCTGATTCAACTTTTCAGTTCACATAGAATATTGATTGATAAGTAGTAGACCGAACCCTACTTGAAAATTAAAATGACTCTTCTACTAAAAATGAAATGTTCCTGAAAATTCTTGCTCCCATGGACCATTTGTATCTCTATGCATTAAAATCTCAATTCATGAATTTCTCGAAAAATTAAGAGGAAGAGGATCAAACCATTTCTTTTGATCCTTTTTCTTGATAATAGTGGGTTGATATATATATATATATATATATATATATATATATATATAATATTTTATTATGAATATATGAATAGGTTATTGATGAGTACACGGTGTTGTGGCAACGACGATGAAGCAGAGACAATAAGAACATTGATAAGAGAAACAATGGAAGTAGCAACAAAAGTATCGTTTGGAAATGTGTTTGGAGGGCCTTTGGAGAAGTTAGCGTTTTGGTTGTTTGGAAGACAAGTAAGAGATTTGACCCTTAGGTACGATGAGATACTGGAGAAGGTATTAAAGCAACATGAACATAGAGCGAAGGAAGACGATTTCGGTAGGGAAGATCGAGATCTGATGGATATTTTGTTGCGGGTTTATCGAGACGAGAATTCCGAATTCAAGATCACAAGAACTCATATCAAGGCCTTTTTCCTCGTAAGTCTATTAATTTTTTTTTTTTTTAATTTTGGTTATGAATCACGAACATTCGTAATAGCATGATATTGTCTTATCTATTTGTTTTTTGTTTGTGTAGGATCTGCTTTTGGGTGGCACTGGAACGTCGACCGAGGTAGCCCAATGGGTGATGTCGGAGCTTCTCAACCATCCCAAAGTATTCAACAAACTCAGAAATGAAATCGACTCCGTCATCGGAACCACCAAACTTGTCGGAGAAGACGACGTTCCAAATCTCCCTTACTTACAAGCCGTTGTCAAAGAGACTCTCCGGCTCTACCCTGCCGTCCCTATTGCCATGCGAGCCTGTCGTCAAGATTGCAAGATCAACGGCTTCGACGTGCCTAAAGACATGATGGTGGCAGTCAACCTATTCGCCATAATGCGCGACCCAAAAGTGTGGGAGAATCCGAACGAATTCGATCCTGAAAGGTTCACGGGTGAAGAGCGGTACGAGATTAAGGGGCAGCAGAGTTTTAAGTTTGTTCCGTTTGGTGGGGGTAGAAGGGCCTGCCCTGGCTCCACTTTGGCGTTCGGGTTCATCAGCACTGTGGTTGCAGCCATGGTTCAGTGCTTTGATTGGAAGATAGGAAGAAATGGAGATGAAAGTAAAGTGGATATGGAGATTGGAGCCGCCTTCACCTTGCCCAGGGCCAACCCACTTCTCTGTGTCCCTGTTCTTCGGTTCGACCCATCTTCCTTGGCAACGACTACATGTTAGTGGCTTACCTATTTACTTGCTCATAGTCTCGAGTTGGTTTGATCTCGTTTAAATTTACTATAAATTTATAATGTATCTTTAGACTCAAGACGATTATATTTAAATAAAAAAATATTGTTCTTAAATAGTTGAGGTGCTTTCGCAAAAAATTTATTAATTATTTATTTTATTCTACATATATTAGTATGCTAACCAAATTTTATTTTGTTAATATGTTAGTTTATTAAGTTAAAAATATTTTAAATAATGCTACTTTAAGTTATTACGTCCTAGTTCCTAGTTTGATTAATTAATTTTATAAAAAATTATAAATTTATAGAAATTTGTGCGTTTTAAATTGATATAAATTTATTATTTTTACTCTTAGTTCAGTAGTTGCTCAGACGAAAGTCAGCCGTCAAGGAATGAATCTCATTGCCAATTTTGTGGTATAGTTTCTATAAAGTATGGAATTCTCTCCACCCACTTGCACGCTTACTAGATAGGCTAGCTTTGGTGCTTTTAGTGCTCTACTTGCAAACAAAAAGGGGAGGGACTTTTTCTTGCCTGCTTCTGGCGGTTTATCTCTTCACGAGTCGTCGGCTCTAGTCTAGACTTTCCCACCCAAGGAAGTTCTTGGAAAGCCTTTAGAGCGGGCAGCACAAACCCTTTCTTTTAGTCGGGCAAGGATGAACATTTGATGCTTGATCTGTTTTTGGCTTTTCTTGTTCTTCTTTGGTTCCGGTAACCTGGTCGATCTACTTCACCTTTTCCAGAAGGGAGGTTGGGCGGTAACCTTAGCCCAGAATTTCAGCAGCTCTTTTCACCAGTGAGAACGAGTTGTAGAGGTTCCGGAGAGAAAGAAGGAATCGTCGGAGAATATGTTACATAAGTTCAGGAGGTAATCAATCCCCCCGCAGTGAGACAACGGGAGAGTCCATTCATTAGCTGCTTAGCTATTTGAAGAACCTGCCCCTCTCGATATTACCGGACCTGACCCTATGTTCTTCTTTTTCTTCTCTTTCTCCTTATTCTCTTCCTATGAAATCCTTTTCCTTTCCAGTGGAGTCAATGAATGAAATGAAACCCCTATTTATTTAGTTCGTGAAAGAATAGTGAAACCCTTGTTGGCCAGGTGAAGGAGAAAGAACCAAAGATCGATGCCTTAGATTGAACTGCAAAATCTCAGGTAGAGGAGAAAACTGACTTCTTCCAGGCACCTTTTGTAAAGGATGAATGGCGGGCTATTTGACGATGAGCCTCCTCAGTCTATAGAGATGAGACGGTGGGGCCTTTTCAACAGCTGCTGACGCCATAGGCTTCTTGCCCGGAACACCTAACTGTAAGACTGAACGAAAGAAACCTGACCTCTGTAACCAGAAGGAAGAGAGAGGATTGACTTTCAAGACTTGAAGGTTCAGTAGTGATTGAGTTTCAATCGGGAAAAGGTTTAAGGGTTCTTTCGGCTTTACCTTGGTTACTGTGAAAGAAGGATTGAAGGAGAGAAGCTGCTTTTTAGAAGAAGCGAGACGAGAAGAGGAGAGGTTAGAAGAAGCTCGTTCTTCTTTGAGATCTTTAGATTCG